AATCTTCAGTAGTTTAAAGTGTCAAGTTCGTCTTCATTGTTTCTTAAGAACCACTTTAATCTTCAGTAGTTTAAAGTGTCAAGTTCGTCTTCATTGTTTCTTAAGAACCACTTTAATCTTCAGTAGTTTAAAGTGTCAAGTTCGTCTTCATTGTTTCATAAGAACCACTTTAATCTTCAGTAGTTTAAAGTGTCAAGTTTGGTTCACTGTTTCTTATTTTCACTGAAAAACAAAATTCAAAACTTATTCTAGAACAATTTTCTCTTGTTCAAAGGATATTAGAGAGTAACCCACGGGAGACAGTCTAATGGGGACTATCTGCTAGCTGTTCCTAATTTAGTAGTAACAGACTAGACAGAAGGCAGCTAGTGAACACCACCCACTGACAACTCTTATACTACTCTTTCACCAACGAAAAGTGAGGTTGGTCGTCGAATTATAAAGCCCACACGACCTACAGATGCTCTAAACACCAAGCCATGCTAGGCCACACTTCAGATGTATAATTGTGGAAAAAAAACAACACACACACAAAGACACACTGAGATTGAATGTAAGGTTTCTACTAGATTAAAAGAACGAATTTTGAACAAAGTTAGATTGATTTCTTGGCTCAAGTTTTAAACTGTAGTTTTAAATAAGAGAAATGATTTTACAACATATTATGCTTCTGATACCATCTTGATATTAACAGACTTAATATTATATATATATTCATAAATTCCCATTTATAAAAAGACTTACTTTAGTTTATCCAGTTTCTGGAACTGCATCTCCTTCATCTCAAAGTCGGGCACCGAATCTTCAATGTCTCGCACACCAGGACTAACGAGTTGCTTCGCGGGTGAAGATGGTGATTTCACGCACAAAGACAGGTCCAAAATCTGAGGTTTCTCAAGTTCTCCATCTCTCTTTTCTTTTTGTTTCGCCTCCTGTTCTGCTTCAAGTAATACGCGGCGATAATCTTTCGGAAACACCTGCCAGAGTTGGAAAATTAGAAACCATTTATTTGATGACGTTTTACTAACACCACTTTTGAAAGTCCGTATTTTTATTTTTGTATATATATGACAAAGTTACTAATTTTATCTGCCGCACTCCCTAATTTTCAATTTATAACTATAAGGAAAACAACCAGTCATCAGCACCCAACACTCGCGTGAATCTTTTACGATATTGCACAGATTTGAACCCGACTCACCAGCTCTATCACTGAGCCAACCCGCGCGCCCCCTATTGAACGTTAACAGTAATAATGAACATAAAGATTATCCTTATGAACTTTTTAGAATCAACAGTCAACCTATTCGTGTGAAGTTAATTAATATCAGCCCGAACAACACACACACACACTTCATGTTGTGCTATAGAATAAAACATTGTACACAAACGCGTCTAGTCTCCAGAACCATTCTGAATTGTTATTTATTGAAGCTAAAATCCGGCTTTCGATACCCATGGTGGGCACAGCATAGATAGCCCATTGTGTAGCTTTGTGTTTGATAGCAAACATTTATTGACTGTGGTATTAGATAGCTGTTGATTCAAAGTTTTCATTGCTAGTTCCTCAGAAGGATCAAATGCTTAATCTCTCATTAGTCATAACTAACAATAGTGATTACTGAAACGTTACACAAGTTAGTTCCTCAGAAGGATCAAATGCTTAATCTCTCATTAGTCATAACTAACAATAGTGATTACTGAAACGTTACACACGTTAGTAATAATCGGTAAGAATGTTAAGTTAAATGAAACTTTACGACAAGTGACAAAAATGTTAAGGCAATTGAAATGTCAATAATAAAAAACACGAATGTTAATATAACTGAAACGTTAGGTGACGAAAATGTAAATATTAAGTGACAAGAATACTAATTGAAATATTTGTAATAACAGACAAGAATGTTAACTGAAACGTTAGTACTAAGTGACAAGAATACTAATTGAAATATTTGTAATAACAGACAAGAATGTTAACTGAAACGTTAGTACTAAGTGACAAGAATACTAACTGAAACGTTTGTAATAACAGACAAGAATGTTAACTGAAACGTTAGTACTAAGTGACAAGAATGTTAACCGAAACGTTTGTACTAAGTGACAAGAATACTAATTGAAATGTTTGTAATAACAGACAAGAATGTTAACTGAAACGTTAGGTGACGAAAATGTAAATATTAAGTGACAATAATACTAATTGAAACGTTAGTACTAAGTGACAAGAATACTAATTGAAACGTTTGTAATAACAGACACGAATGTTAACTGAAATGTTAGTATTAAGTGACAAGAATGTTAACTGAAATGTTAGTATTAAGTGACAAGAATGTTAACCGAAACGTTTGTACTAAGTGACAAGAATGTTAACTGAAACGTTAGTACTAAGAAACAAGAATATTAACTGAAACATTAGTACTAAGTGACAAGAATGTTAACTGAAACGTTTGTACTAAGTGACAAGAATGTTAACCGAAACGTTTATACTAAGTGACAAGAATGTTAACCGAAATGTTTGTAATAACAGACACGAATGTTAACTGAAATGTTAGTATTAAGTGACAAGAATGTTAACCGAAACGTTTGTACTAAGTGACAAGAATGTTAACCGAAACGTCAGTACTAAGTAACAAGAATGTTAACCGAAACGTCAGTACTAAGTAACAAGAATATTTATGTAAACAACTAAGTACCTTTACAAACTGGCATGATTTAGAAGGCCATCCATGAAGAACCGATTGTGCTACAGTTGAGCCAGTCTTTTCATGAAACTCTCGAACCAGGCTTTCTACAATGTCTATATCGCTCTGCTCGTCCAGCGGAAGAAGATAAACCATCATTTTATTACACTTGCTCGTAAATTTTTGGTCTCTGTGAGGATATGAAAACAAAAATAAAAACTACATAGAAACAGCACCTACAAAACGAGTATTTTAAACGATGAACAACAACAACAAAAAAAAGCATTTTAGATGAAAATATGAAGCACAAAATGAGCTAAAATGAAAAACGCCGAAAATAATGATAATATTACAATGATGCAAAACTAAAACCTTACGTATCTAACACGTAGGCTATTCCTCCGGACATCCCAGCAGCGAAGTTACGTCCCGTTGGTCCGAGAATGACCACTCTGCCCCCTGTCATATATTCACAGCCATGATCTCCTACACCCTATTAAGTCCACGAAAAACATATTTTTGAAAAGCTGGTAAATATGTGATTTTCTCAATATCCTACATATACACTCTGATCATTGCTTGGAAATTTTACAAACCCTAACAAAGAGATGCCTTTCTACTACATCTATATATTAAATGTATTTTAAATATTACTTTAAAACCCACTAAGGAAATAATATCTTACAAGATAATTACCTCTTACAAAAAAAACCTTTAAAAAATTCAATCCCTCGTGAATGTTAATCTTTAAGAAATTTTCTTTACAACGAAAACGTTTCTGAAGTTTAGTAGATCCCCCAAATTTTTTTTTTAAGAATCGTAAATAATGTGCTTCATTGATTGATTTATATTTTATTTTAATATCTTGCATAGTTCAAGTAATTAATTTTTCTATTGCGATCTCAATACGAGAAAACGTTACATTTGTCACACTAAAAAATATGTTTTTACTCTGATTTACACAAAATTATTCTTACTATAATGGAGCAATGGCGTGGCCGTCTATATAGCTATTTATCTATGTATGTGAACGAAATAATAAATACAGTTATGTCATCTGTTGTGCTGAAATACAACAAGATCTCAATGCCAGAAATGGTGACTGAGGTTTATGAAATGTGGCACCATCTGTTGTGCTAGTATTAGAAATGCCTGCTTACTTCAACTACAGCAGTAGCTCCCGAGTTTCTTACACAGAATCGTTCTGCAGCAATTCCCCTGAAGAACGCTTTCCCTGCAGTTGCTCCATACAAACATACGTTCCCGACTAATATGTTTTCTTCAGACTTGAAATGGCGTGGCATTCCTTTAGGTGGATATACAATAATTTCCCCTCCAGATAAACCCTGAAATCATATGAAAGTCACATTCATCAACTAGAACTGTGTTAGCACAACACGAATATCAACAAATAAACTAGGCTAGTAAAAGTCAAAAGTCTAAACTAAAAAAAAATGTGCTACAATAATGAAAACTATAGTCCAAAGTATACATGGTTAAACAATGACAACGAGATCCCTTAAGTATATAATGTTCCAACAACAAGACTCAAATGCCCGAAGTGCATAATGTTACAACAATGTGAACCAGAAATCCTTTAATATATAATGTTACAACAATGTGAACCAGAAATCCTTTAATATATAATGTTACAACAATGTGAACCAGAAATCCTTTAATATATACTGTTCCAACAACAATGTGAACCAGAAATCCTTTAATATATAATACTACAACAATGCGAACCAGAAATTCCTTCATTGTATAATGTTACAACAATGTGACACAGAAATCCATTTAACATATAATGTTACAACAATTTGAGCCAGAAATTCCTTAAGTATATAATATCACAACAATAAAAACTTTAAGCCCCTAAAGTAATAATTGTTACAACAATGAGAATCGGAAGTCCAGAATACATAATGTTGCAACAAGGTTAGTTTGGTATATAGATTTAAGACTAACCTAAACCTACCGGGCTAGCAGAACATCAATAGATATTACTGGGTTTACGGCCGAAAATATCGTTAAGAGCGAGGGTACCCAACTTACGAAACAATGCATTATAATTTTTATAAGTAAGAAATTAATTACAATATATTCAACTAGTACTATGACTAGTTTTAATTATGACATATTTTTAGTCCGAAAGATAATATTAATTTGTACATTAAGCTCACCTTTCCTACATAATCGTTAGCATCTCCTTCAAGTTCAACAGAAATTCCACGAGATAAAAACGCACAGAAACTTTGTCCTGCTGACCCTTGCAATCTGACATTGATGCTTCCCGGGGGAAGACCTTCATTTCCAAACTTCCTGTTGTGTTGTTAAACACGTAATGATTCAGTTAGCTATATTATCATCATTACAACGTTAAACATGTACTAATATAATACACTATACTATCATCATTACAACGTTAAACATGTACTAATTCAGTACACTATATTATCATCATTACAACGTTAAACATGTACTAATTCAATACACTATTTTATCATCGTTACAACGTTAAAGACGTATTAATTCAATACACTATATTATCATCATTACAACGTTAAAAATGTACTGATTCAAAACACTATATTATCATCATTACAACGTTAAAAATGTACTAATTCGGTACACTATATTATCATCATTACAACGTTAAACATGTACTAATTCAATACACTATATCATCATAATTACACCGTTAAACATGTATTGATTCAGTACATTATATTATCTTCATTACAACGTTAAACATGTACTGATTCAGTTATCATCATTATACCGTTAAACATGTACTGATTCAGTACAATGTATTATCATCATTACACCGATAAACATGTACTGATTCAGTTATCATCATTACACCGTTAAACATGTACTGATTCAGTTATAATTATTACACCGTTAAAAATGTACTGATTCAGTTATCATCATTACAGTTTTAAATGAAGAAAGACTCACGTATCTATTACAAAGTAAGAAGTACTGTAGTAGTTATCCGGATAACTGTCATTAACTATAAGCTTTCTTCTGAGTATTGGACGACTTATAACTCTGTCATTTTTTTGCGACTTGAAACTGTAAAAGTAGTCGTCTTATCTCATGATATGCTATATCCTATCTAAGTTGTACCACAATCGAATAAATTCCGGACTTTTTATGTCCGACCTCTGTCACCTAGGTTAATTCTGTGTTAATGAAAAGTATAAGATGACTCACTTTGCTACGTGATATGATAGAGTTGTGGCAAATCCTCTATCTTCGTTACTGATATCCATGTGTATCGTGATATCCTTTGCCTTTCCCTCTAGCACCTCGGCAGCCTGTCTTAATAGGAGATTATCCTAAAAATGAACAAATTACATACTATTTATTAAATCCTTTCTATGTACTGTTGCCTAGTAAGGCTAAAGAAAACACGCATAAAATAAACGAAAACTAGAAGTCAAGAAATATATATCGTATGGTTCTCATTAGAAGAAAACTGTTTAGCTACATCTATACGGGCTCGGTCATTTTGACCGATCTTGTAACCACCGTGTAACCATGAAAGTTTATATATTATAACTTTTGATGTATTACGTGTATCTTCATGAGATTTGGCAAGTTTTTAGTAAACATGACAAGGTCTATGCACACAAAAACATATGTTTTTACTGAAATCTTTTTATTAAATATATGTGTTTAAATTTATGTAAGTGTCTGAGTCAGTCACTAACTAGTTCTAATGCAAGTTGATTTTCATATTAAGGTTAATAATACGTTTCTCATTTTACAGTTTTCAGTTGCCATCTCTATAGCCCCAAAAACCTTCTGAATGAATATAAAACGTTTTGTTAAAAAATGTTTATATTTTACTAAAATTTCAAAAAATTATTTCTCCATTAATTCATTACAATATTTACAGAATCAGATTATAGTTCTGGGTATTACTGTAACTATCAATAACTTCTGATTGAAAAGTTCTTTTATCAAACAGTACAAAAGATATTAAGATACTCGTATGTAAGTAAGATTATTTTTACCAATCGTTTTTCGAGATCGAAATCTTGTCTTATACTTCCACCAATTATGCTAACTCCAGGACGAAGACTCATAGCATTTAGTAGGATTGGAGAAAAATCCAGAAGAGCTGCTTTGGGATTTTTAGTGTTATTGTAACGGGTCAAGAGGTCAGTTCTTCCTATAAGGTCCTGTAGTCTGCGGACTCCCATTCTTGCCATGTGCTCTCGCACCTGTAGTGGATGTACTTGGTGATTTATATTTTTATGTATGTATTTATATATAAATATATGTATATACATATAAGTAAAGAATGCTCAGTCTTCGATTACAAACAAAATTAGGTTTTATATGTATATATATATGTGTGTGTGTGTGTATATATTTTTAAGTATATTATCAATTAGCCATAATATCTACAAGAAATGAAATCACATATATATGCAGCATAACAGCTACTCTGCCAAAAAAAAACGGCTAGTAAAGAAACTTTTATTTTTTCTGTAAAAAGAAACGGCTAGTAAAGCAAGTTTTACTTCTTCTGTAAAAAGAAACAGCTAGTAAAGAAACTTTTACCTCTTCTGCCAAAAGAAACAGGTAGTTGATGAGGTGTTCTGGTTTTCCCTGGAATTTTTTTCGAAGCTCTGGATCCTAAAAAAAAACAATTCCAGAAAAATGTGAAGATACAATCAGCCCACTATTGTATAAAAGGTAAACTAGTTAATCATAGCTTAAACATAGCTTAAAAGGAAGTATTTGAATTACTCTGTTAATTAAATTTCTTTTCAACATCAGCATATATAGTCAAGTGTTATTCCCTCATAACTATTTGTTTGTTTCAGCACCCCCTGGTGGCTCAGTAGACTTAAAATACTAAAAATCGAATTTTGATTCTCATGATAGGCAGAGCACAGATGACTTATTCTTGTATCTTTACAACAAACAAACAGCAAGCTATTTGTTCTGTCCCTACCACTGAATTCGAGCCTCGAATTTTAGTGCTACAACTTCTCACGTTTACTACCAGGAAGGATTCACCAACTGAGGGTTGAAGTTCAATCATTACCAGCTCTACTCTTTATAATGGAGTATTATAACTTTTCAATAATCACGACGAACTCGAAATTTCACCAGATGTCATTATTTACCCAGGAAATTAGTGTACCGTTCTTCAAGTAAGTTGTTTAATATGTGACTGATGCCTGGGGCAGCATTCATTTATTGAAATCAACAAAGGGGTAATTCCTTACAAGCTCTATAAAACAAACACCTTATTGGCAGGAATGATTATCGCAAAATGATATTGCAAGTCCATGATATGAACCTTTATGTCTTAGGTATATATTGAAATATTTCAACTTCACAAACGTCATATTTAAATATCTGTTTAATATTGCAATCACGTTTCACTAGCCTAAAAAAGACTATAGCTAGTCCTTACACCAAAACCTAGCCAATTAGGCTGATACTTACATCTAACCTAGCCAATTAGATGGGTCCTTACATCACATCATAATAAAAAATGCACAAGCTGATGTCACATTTATATTTATAAGGATCTTGTGGGCTGATACTTTTATCAAAACTTGACGAGTGTAGAATTATACAGCTTTTAGAAGAATCCAATACTTGTGTGCCCTATCCATACTAAAATGCAAGAGTTTACAGAAAGACCACTTATTAGTGTACCCTATCCATAATGAAATGCAGGAGCTTACAGAAGAACTAATATACGTAGATTGTATCCCAAATAAAATGCAGGAGCTTAAGAAGAACCCAATATTTGTGGATATTTTCCATATTAAAATGCAGAAGTCTACCAGAGAACTCAATATTCGTTTATCCTATCCTTATTAAAATGTAGTAACTTACACAAGAGCCTAATATTCGTGGATCCCACAGTAAAATGAAGGAGCCTACAGAAGGATCCAATGTTTATGTGGATCCTATGTTTAAAGAAGCCAACCTATATTAACCTAGCTGAGCTTACTAACAATTGTCAGTTATCCACGATATGTGCACTGGTATATTCTATACTACAAACTCAACACACGCTATGGTTCATAACTTGGTTGCTATATTAACAGCACACGTATTGAAATCACGATGTGTTATTTAATGTTCACTGATGTGTCTTAACACATGATAAGGGTCATACCTGAGTTGCTATGCCAACAGGACACGTATTGAGGTGACACTTTCTCATCATAGTACAGCCAAGGACAATGAGAGGTGCCGTGGAGAAACCAAATTCATCAGCACCCAATATGGCGCCAATAATGACATCAAAACCTGAAAAATAAAACTTATTTAAACATTTTCCAATACAGAAAGTCGTGCTGAGAAACCTGCTATAAAAAATGTAGATTTTTAGAAAATCACTGTTCACAAAGATTGCAAAGTTACTTAAAATCATTTTTTATCGGCACTTATTCAGGAAAATATTTTATTATGGACTAAGAAATTACATGATAATTCTCCCTAAATGAATAATGTTATTCGTAGGACACAAAGCCATACAAATGCTGATCTTCCAACCATCTCTACATTTATCCAATGAGACGAATGGGATGATCACCATGGTAACAGTTGGTACTATTCCACTTGCAAAGAAAAGTGCAATTTAAGTCATAAAAGCATCTGTTGATCGTAGTGATACAAACTACTCTCTATGAAGGTCAGTTAAGTCAAACGTTACTTAAACATGTTAAGGTAATACAGATTATTCGTCTAAGAGGTTTTTATTCGAATAACAAAGTAATCAACCCTTAATTTACGCATTTGTATCATTCATTTAACATCTTGGGAAGAATGGGTACATCTTTAAGCGGGTGTTTCTATTTTTATATCCAACCCTGTACATATCGGCAGTATTTGAAATATCTATTCTTCCACATTTACTTTTTCTCTTTTTCACACAGATCTAGTGGTAATTGTAATGACATGTGATATTTATTTAATTAATTCTTTAAGCTGTACAAATATTGTTATTGTTCTTTATCAGTACGACATTTACTGAATAAGGAGTTATATTCTGATTTTTTTACCAGTACGAATTTGTCCGTCGACTTGCAAAACAACTCTCGACCTAAGGTCACTTTGGACAAGAGTCTGATGCGTTTCTGCAATACCAAGTTCCCAGGGAACTCCTGCTCCTTTAATCCCTGTCCAGCTACTAGCACCAGTCCCTCCATCATGTCCAGAAATCGTGATGTGTTCTGCTTTACCCTGACGGTATCAAAACAAATGTCTGAAAGGTATTCTCAAGTAGTTTAAAATAAAAGCTATTCAGTTGCTATATTGATATATTTACTACGTTCACCTTGGTTGCTATAGCGATACTTACTTATTTTACCTTAGTTGCTATAGTGATAATTACTCCTTTCATCTTGGTTGCTATAGTGATACTTACTCCTTTCACCTTGGTTGCTATAGTGATTTTATATTTTACTTTAGTTATTAACGTGGTGTAGTTATTCATGCTGTCTTTGTTACTATAGTTGTTCTCACCTTAAGTACTGCTGTGACAAAGTTACCCAAGTCACATAAGTTTCTAAAGTGATTAAGGTATTATTTTTATCTTAGTTACTAAATTGACTAAACTATTGTAGTTACTATCGTGGTAAAGCTATCCATGCCACTATGGTTATTAGATACGGTTAATCCGTCCATCTAACCCCAGTTTCTATAAAAGTGAAGTTACTAATATAGTTTTAGATATATATAATATTTTCTATTTTCATTTATTTACTCTTATTATATATATATATTCTTATTATTATCACTTTGCATTTTGAGATTAGTATTTGGATATAGAAATAACCTAAATCTCCTAAGTTGGTCAAACCTTGTGGGGTATTATTGGGATTATGGCTAACAGTGTCGTTAACAGTGTGGGCACACATCTGATGAATTAATGCATTCTAATCATGATAAGTGTTTTATAACTTTTCATACCAATAGTTAGAACAGTATATTAAATAAGCTGTATTCATTACTCGGTTAATTTTGAATTCTGATCTTACCTTAGCTACTCCAGATGCTACAACACCAACTCCGACTTCTGATACCAGCTTTACTGAGATCCTAGCATTTGGATTGGAGCATTTCAAATCATAAATCAGCTGATGAAATAAAACGATAAGGAAACCCATTAATAGAAAGCTGTAACCAACATACTTTTCTCATTAGGAATTAAGTTATGCATTCTAAATCTGTCGCTGAAGATGGAACACCATCATCTCCTATTCTTATAAACAGAGATTGTGTACGTTATATTAAAACGATGTTGGGGCTATAATTCCAGGTCAGTGTTAGACTTGCAGAGGATAGAGAAATTTGATAGTATAGGTTGATGTCCTGTTT